TGCTCGGGGGCGGCAGAGGAACGTCGCTGCTCTTCTCCCTCTCCTTGCGATGGTCGTAGCACGTCCAGTCTGTCCCACCGGCCATGACCCCGCAGGGCAGCACCCTGGCACACGGGGCTGGCTGAGCACTGAGGACACCAACCCCAACCACATCAGTGTCCCCGGGATAACTCCTCTGGTGGGTACTATTTGCAGAGAAGGAGTGGGTACCCATGGGTGATGCTGTGCCTGCTGTCACCAACTATCACCAGCCCTTCAGACAAGGTGATCTTGGCAGCAGGATCTCTAGTGCAGACAAAGCCTGGCTGGTTTTAAGCACATACATCGCGATTTGCTCTGGGCAGGCTAATTTGGCACAGCAGTTCAAAGCAGCCGTGCTTGTCCCTGGGGAAGGATGCTCCGAGAGCAGCGCTGGGCGGTGGCGGCAGAGACGCTGCCAGACGGGCTCGGGCGCTTTCTGTTTTGCTGCGTGTGGTGCTGAGCTTTCGCCAGGTTCCTTCTGCGCAGCAATGCTGCTGGCCAGACACGGGGCTGCCAGCAAGCTCAGGCCACTCCACTGGCAGTGCAGGATGGTGTGAGCACAGATGCAGAAGGAGAGAGACGGTGCAGTAGGAGAGGTCAGATGGGAAGGCGTTTGCCAGCCAGATGCAGCACAGAGGATACCCAGCTGCTTGTGACTCCATCTGGGAAAGAATCCTCTGTGCATGTCTTGGGGCAGGTAACTCTGTGCAGGTGAGAGCTTTGGCTGCGAGAGCAGCATGAGCAGGTTGTCACCCCCATGGGGCAAGGTCTGCCCTGGGCCTCGCAGGGAGGACAGAGATGGGCCTCTATCCACCAGCCAGCTCCGCTCTCCGCGTGTTGTGCCACGGCTTCACGTCAAGCGATGTGTCCAAGAGCTTGGGCTGCCTGCAGTACTAGAGGGCGATGGGCTCTTCGGCTTTAATCCGAGTAGGGACCTGTTTGCAGAGAGGGGTGAGTAATGGCCCAGGAATTTTGACAAGCTGGCAAAATTGATTTGGCCAATTGCCTTCTCCTGTTTGTGCTGCGGGTCTGGCCAGCCCAGCATTTTGCATCCAGCAGATCATCTCGTGTGTGTGTCCTCTCTGTGCTGTGCGTACCCTCTTGTTGTCTTCACTGTATCACAAAGCAGAAGAAAATTAACCTAGAGACTCCTTGGAAGCACCATTGGTATTGCAGAGAGCTCTGCTTGACTGCAGGGGGATGAGATGGGAGCTGTTGAGGATTTGGCTGCAGAGCCTGCTGTGTCTCACTGGGAGCTGCGGGAGGCTGGCTTCAGCACAGGAGAGTTGCTCTGCTTGCTCCAGCGAGCCTGTGTTGGATGCTTAAGGGTCGGTTTGATTCTTCCCAGGCTTTTGTGAACAGTAGCTGAACTGGTGTTTCAAAGGCACAAGGGAGCAGCTGCATGGGGTGCTCCTGCGTGTGCTTCCTTGTGATACAGTCACCGGGGAAGCCTTCTGAGGGGAGATCAGTATATTTTGGGGCTGCCTTGGTGTGCTTTCCACTTTGAACCTGCAGATCAGCAGACAGAAACACATTTTTCATATCAGAAAAAGGTAAAGGCTTTGAAGCTGGAGTCCTATCATAGGCTGGTAGGAAGTAGGGCTTAAAAAGATGTGGGAGGGAGGCTTTGCTCGGATCTGGGGCCTGAGTTGGGTGCCCTAATAACAGAGGAGCTTCCTTGGGGTGGGGAGCTGTCGGGATAACAGCTTGTGCTCCAGCACTCGATGGGATTTGCCAAATGGGAGGGTGAAGGTCCCTCCCTGTCCAGCTAAGCTCTGTATGCTCTTTCCCCAGGGACTGTCACTAGCGCATCCATCGCCCTGACTCTTGTTCTTGAAGGAAGCCAGTCATGGGGGAAACGGGCAAAGAAGAATATAAAATACAGTCGTTCGACACTGAGACTCAGAAGCTGCTGAAAACAGCTCTCAAAGGTCAGCAGGTTTTTTACTGGCTCTTCTGCTACAACAGCTCAGCTAGCAGATGGGACTGGATGCTTGGGTCCCTTTAAGGAGCATCAATAGTGAAGTGCAGAAAAGCTGTTTCATAAACGCTCTTTATCTGTGATTGGGTCCCGCTGGTGCATCTTCTGTGGGGAAGGTCTTTGCTCCCTGCCTCTTTCCCCTTCTCACCTTCTCCCTGATGTTTAATGGTCCAGCTGTTCAAGCTCAGCTCCTGGTTCTCATCCTTGTGGTTTTCCCTGATTTCGGGATATCTCTCTCTCCTGCTTTAACCCTGCATCTCTCCACATCTGGCCTCTCACCCCTTTCCAGTGCCTGATTCCTGCTCTCTGCCCCTCCCCACTGCAGGGCCATCTCGTCCTCCTGGCCCCCGAGGTCTCCTGCTCACCTTCATGTCTCTATTTGAAGCCTGGCAGGAGTTTGCACATCTGGCCTCTGCTAACCCAACTGTGTTATTCCAGTTATCCCAGCAGTGCTGGGACTTCACATTCAGATCAACTTCTTACTTCCCCATATTACCTGCTTTCCTCCATCACTTTCCTGTCGTGATGGCTGTGTCTTCAGCCTGAGAGGACCATGCACCATTGGAGGTGGTTTCTCCAAAACAGATGGGGTGTGAGAGGAGCTATGACTTGATGTGGAAGCAAGCATGAGGTTTTGCACCACATAACATGGTTGTGCCAGGCCCTGCTTGCTTTTCAGGCACCCTAGAGCAAGCAGGACACAAAGGGTGCTGAGTCTTGACAGTGTTTCTTCTCTTTGCAGACCCCACCAATGTGGACCTGGAGAAAGTGGCCAACATTATAGTGGACCAGTCGCTCAAAGACTGTGTGTTCAGCAAGGAGGCAGGGCGCATCTGCTATACCATCATCCAGGTGAGTGCTCCTTGTGTTTGGACAATGAAACACTCGAGTTGTGTGGGTTGTCCCAAGGCTGGGCCAGGAGACGCTTCACTCCAGCCCTGCACTCCAACCCCTCAGCCAGCTTTCCTCTTCTGCCGCTCACCCTGTGCAGTGGCAGCATCCAGACAAGCAGCCGGCGAGCACAGTTATTGCAGCTTTCCTGCTTCTCTGGGCTATCACCAGAGGATATCAGTGTGACCCTCCATCACCCAAGTACCAGCATCCTCCCACCCCTCTCACACCCCCATTCCATCCCGCCATCCTGTTTTTGTGTGCATGTAGGCAGAGAGCAAACAAGTTGGCCAGAGCGTC